GGGGGGGGGGGGGGGGGGGTGAATGATCCCCTTGCTAAAGTCATAATTATTATACTCTAGGAATCGTTCCGGTAGTTGGTCGTCTTGTTGCACGTTAGCAAAAGGAGCCTGTCTTCTATATAACCACCTTGCGACAAACAGATTGATTACTGGAGGATCATTATACTATGATCTCATATCCTGTCGCTCAAACTTGAGCCGGCATCGTCGGACCAAGGCCGCTCGAATTCGGTCGCAACCGGTCGAATTCGGTCGTTACGACACCCGAATCTTGATGTGCAGCGCAAGAGAAGACGATAAATAGCACTCTTGGTTCTCTCTTTAATTAGGTCTCTTGGATTATGCCCAAAAATTCGTACACTGCCCTCTTCTGTAGCAAGCACCCTCCACTTGACCTCTGACGTTGCCCGGTATGACGTTCGAAACCCGCCTCTTCATCAACAATGAGGTAGGGGAAATTCCTCAAAGTCTCTCTGGATCGCCGGATAGATGCTAAGTAATACAAATATCATATGATAATATACTAATCTAGTCGTCTTTCATCCAGTATGTCCCTTCCTCGACTGGAGAGACCCTCTCGGTCTACAACCCGGCAGACGACAGCTTGGTGACCGACCAAATCCAAGTCGCTTCAAGCGAGGACGTCGACAAAGCCGTTGCGGCGGCCAGTAATGCCTTCAAGACTTGGAGAGCTACGCCGAGCTCACAGCGCGCGGCCATCATGCTTAAGTATGCCGACCTCGTCGAGCAACACGCCGAGACTATTGCTCAGCTCGAATCCACCAACATGGGCATGCCAATCATAATTAGCCGGATCATGGCATCTTCACAGGCCTCGACCTTCCGCTACTACGCCGGTCTCGCGGATAAGATCCACGGCGAAACCTACCCAGAAGACGGTGATGGTCAATTCAAGATGATTACCTATGAGCCCCTGGGTGTCTGTGCCGGCATCTCAGCTTGGAATGGAACCCAGCTGTCCATTGGATGGAAGGTAAGTCTGCATCATTTCCAGTTATCTGAGGAAGCATAAAATTCTAATATACATGAATCACTAGATCGCCCCGGCAGTAGCTATGGGCAATACCGTCGTACATAAGTCGTCCGAGCGAGCACCCCTTGCCGCAATCTATCTCGGGTCGCTGTTCAAAGAAGCCGGCTTCCCTCCCGGAGTTGTCAATCTCCTATCAGGCGGCGGCACAACCGGTGCTCTCCTCGCATCGCACATGAATATCGCCAAGATATCATTCACTGGCTCCATTGCAGCTGGCCGCAAGGTGCAGGTAGCAGCCGCACAGAGCAACCTTAAGCACGTCACTTTGGAGTTAGGAGGCAAGTCGGCCTCGATCGTCTTCGAGGACGCGAAAATCGAGAACGCAATCCTCCATAACACCCAGAACTTCTTGGCCAACAACGCACAGGCGTGCTCAGCAGCATCACGTCTCTTCGTGCACGAAAAGATTGCGCCGGCTTTCATCGAGGGGCTCAAGCAGGCCTGGGCGGGCATGTCGGCCGCGCTGGATGATCCCACTGATGCCAACACCTTCCTCGGTCCCATGGTGGACCGGGCGCAGGCTGAACGCGTCTATGAATATATAGAAGGGGCAAAGGCAGAGGGCATTGAGATTGTCGGTGGTCAGGCGCAGGAGCGTCCTGGACAGTTTGTGACCCCGACCCTGCTCCTCAATCCGGGGATCGAAAGTCGCGTGTACAAGGAAGAGATATTTGGCCCGGTCCTCGTGGTTCGCACATTTAAAACGGAGGAGGAAGTGGTTGAATTGGCCAACGATACTTCGTATGGCCTATCCGGTGAGTTCTCAGTTCTCCCTATGCTGTACTCCGGGATCGTAGCTAATCACTCAACTATTGCCAGGTATCATCTTCACAAGCGATATTAGCAGGGCTCTACGCGTAGCATCCAAGCTTGAGGTCGGAACTCTGTCCATCAACGGTAGCCATTGGCCTAGCAAGGTCACTTCGTGGGGAGGCTGGAAGCAGAGCGGGTACGGACGTGAAAGCGGTTTGGAGGGACTCAAGGAATATGTCCAATCTAAGTCGATTCATGTTCACCTTACCGTGTAGAAGCAGAATTTCACAATGGTCTAGGTAGTGATTCATATAGAATTCAATCGTGCCCAGATCTACCGTTCTGAGAGCTTGTACGTGACCACAGCCTGACCACCATGACTGCAATACTAAGTATTGAGGGTTCAAGATGCACAAGGGGAGCAAAGCCAGGTTTTAAGTCACTCATACTCATAGCTGCGGGATTGTCTACAGGCGTTTCCCACTCCGAATCGACATCTAGAAATGCCAGTATCGCTTGAATACTGTAGCCTGACCCTGCTACCGTTACTGCCACTGAAGGAGGTCCCAAATAACGCCACAGATTACGCACTATGTGCATTAATACCACGCAGCCTGTTCAAGAATGCGAGAAACATCAGAGGGCACCCATATTTGGCGAGGATTTTGTTGTGTGGCATGTAGTTTGAGACGAAGGATCAATCACAATTAGGCCGTCCGGAAAGCTTCGGTCGACGTCGGCCGATTTCGACCGAAGCACAGGTCTTAACCTACTGGTACATACAACACCAAATATCGTCCTCTCACAACAATCATTGCAACATCCCCCAATTTTGACCGAATACAGCTACCGAGTATCTGAGGCAACAGTGCCAAGCGTCACAGATGTCTTCGGAGAGCAGAATGGCAGGTCCCGCATTGAAGAAACGTAGGGTGCGCAAGGGGACGCGGAGTTGCTGGGAATGTATGAGACCCCCTAACATTTCAGTGCCCCTGATTTGAGGAACAACCTTACTAATTGGGTCTTATGCCAACTGTATACAGGTCGCAGACGCAAGATTAAATGTCGCTTCGCTGATGAAGACAGTTCCAGATGCATCAACTGCATCGATTACGACACTCCGTGTGTGTCCCAGGCCGATCCTGAGGGTCCCGGTCCGACCACTGCTTTTCCGGGGATCACCCCGGCAGCAAATGCTGAGCCGTCCGGAGCCGAGAGTGAGCATTTGGCCAGACGCATCGACCGGCTCGAGGAGTTGATGCTCAAGGTTGTCGAAGGCAGCCAGAGAAAGCTGCCATCCGCCAGGGATCACGAGTCAGTGAATGGCAAATCACTTCCATGTGCGCCAGCGGGGGATCTTTTCGACGGCTCAGCCGTAAGGAACGCTCACGATATCGCTTCTGCTAATAGCGCTGCATACAATGAATCACTCCTTACCCCTGATTCATCATCAGCCGCACTTCACCATAATCGAACCGCACAGCAGCCGGACTCCCCGTCATCATGTTCAGCGTCATACGTTCCTAGTTTTCCATATACGGGGACCCAAGAAACCAATTTGCACCAGCGTTATAAGAGGATAGCCCGCGATCTGCATGCCCTGCTTCCTTCCCAAGAAATTCGCAACGTCCTGGCTTTTGAGAGTCCTGGGGCTTCTATGATCCTGAGCTTTGCGCATTCCAGAGATGACCATATCGCTGGGCGAACAGAGCCTCACTGGTCTCTAGCCTCAGCGTCTTGGCCAAACCTCGACACTCACCCAGTTCTTATCGCCAAACGCCTTCTCCAGTACGCTATCTGCATGCAGAACCTGCCGCACGACTTCGATCCTACTCGCATACAGCTGCCTGTCCATCAGCAGGCCTGCGAGCTCGTCGGTCAGTGGGTTGCCGCTGCCACCACCGTGACCAGCGACGACGAAATGATAGGCTGTGGTGAAGGTATTGAGATCCTGATTCTGTTGAGCATGTTCCAGGCCGAGGGTGGCCAGTTGCGACGGGCTTGGATGACCACCCGTCGTGCACTCGACTTAGCTCGTGTCTTGGGCATAGATCGACCAACGCCACCACCCGTTCCCTCATGTGCGACGGCAAAGGACCCCAAGGCGACGCCTTCCATGAGCATCCTATGGTATCGCCTTAATTGCAGTGACCGTTATCATTCTGTCATTCTTGGTCTTACTCCGGCCTCTTACAAGGATAATTTCTTGCACGTAACTCCAATTTCCTCCGACAAGTCGTTTGACATGCTTAACAAAGCACATGCTGCTATTTCTCGGAAGATTGCAGATAGAAATGATCTCCCGCCTAGGTCGGATGAGGCGTACTCGGCCACTCAAAGTATTGAGCGTGAGTTCGAACAGGCTATGAGCGAGATAGAAAGGTCGTGGTGGGACATTCCCGTCATTCCCAAGGCTACCCTCTCCGACCTCACCTTTTGGCGAAGATCCACGTCGCAGCTCATGTCAGCTCGTTCCGCCATGTACACACAGGTTCGCCACTATACGCTGCTCATCCTCCTCCACCTGCCGTATCTTCTTCGCGACAAGGACGGGGGGAAGCACAGCCACAACCGACTGGCCTGCATGAGTGCTAGCAGAGCCGTCCTCGAGCGGTTTCTCGCATTCCGTAAAGGCAACATCTTGACAATCGCTGGCCGACCCATCGACTACTCAGCTCTCATCGCAGGCATGACTCTGCTGCTCGGCCACTTAGGCCCAGGGACCGGGCACGACATGCGGCAGGCTGACCGAGATCTCGTGGAGGGCGTGCTGATTACCTTCCGGGAGCTCGCCGAATACAAACGCGACCGTCTCGCGACTGAGTCGGGCGAGACACTCAGCCAGCTTCTGCCTATCATCATGAACAACAGTCAGGAGCCAGTCAGCCTCACGGTTCCTTTCTTAGGCACCGTCAGCATCAACCCCAGACCCGCACCTGCCACTGGCACTGGCACATACGACGCGGGCCACAACTGTGTGGTATTTCCACATCCAATGTCTCTGCAGCACCCGCTTCTCAGTGACTTCGATCTTGATCCACGGCCAGTCCTATCCTTCGAAGCTGCTGGCATGAACCAGGTTCATCCTTCTGGCATGGGCAATGTTGTGGACGGGAACATGGAGGATAGATCTTCGTATCTCACGTCTAATTTGGAAGACTGGGTGTTTCAGGGCATTGACACTACGTATTGGTCCACATTGAACGAGAGTATGAATGTGATGGCAGGGAAATGACACAAAGAAACAATTTAGTTAGGTCGGCATGCCACTTGCTTGAGGGGCAAGGCTGGAAGCGTCTCTGTATGAAGTGCCTAAGAAACCAGGTAGGTAGAAAGCCGTATCGTTTTCAGAACCTAACTGGTTTAGATATTTCTGGCTCTGATTACAATTTTATGACAGATACAATCCAGGCGACCCAGAAAATGCGGAAGCTGTACGTACCCCTTCTTGCCGTGCGGTGGTGAAAATAAAACATTGGGCCATGCCATTCGCGGCGCAGGGTTCAGCTAAAAATGATGAGACCAACTTAACTTTGTAGCCTCATTACTAGCCAACAAGCTTTCACGGCTAGCCAACGAGAGAGAAATGACGTAGAATCTATTAATCTCTTCCACAATACCTCAACGACATCAGGATTATCGTCTCCTCAATCAGCCAGCCAAGCTAGCAACAACGGGCTGCAACTACGTGTCATCACCCATAACATACGCTATGCGACCTCAGATCCTTTCACAAACGAGCGGCCATGGAAGAAACGGAAGCTCCTCGTCTTAAGCCAAAGACGTCATGAGATGCAATCTGCCAATTTCATGGCGCCTCCTGTTTGCCAGTCAAGTGCGCCCATTATGATTGGTGCAGGGCCTCTTTCATCTGTCTGCAGGAAGTTTTGCATAACCAACTTGATGACATTCTGAGCGCTTTGAATCACGCTGGCTCGAGACATGTCAGCGAGCTTCCGAATGGTCCCTTTTGGGCGCATATTGGCGTAGGGCGCGATGACGGCAAGCAGAAGGGAGAATATAACTCGATTCTCTACCCCATCCAGCTCTTCAAATTGCTTCATCATGAGAATGTGTGGTTGAGCGAGACACCAGACCGGCCAAGCAAAGGATGGGATGCCGGATCGATCCGCATATTGACGATGGGCGTCTTCGAGCATGTCGAGACCAAGCAGAAAGTCTTGGCAGCAAATACCCATCTCGACAACGAGGGTTCCAAAAGTCGACTGGAAAGCGTGGGAATCACCATCAGAACTCTCAAGCGAGTTCACAGTGCCTGGAGTGGAGGTGGTAAGCTGGGGATTTTCTCAGCCGGAGACTTCAACTCGTCCACGACCCAGAAAGCATACCTCGCAATGAAGGATAGTGGCTATATGGTTGATCTTCATGATCAGGTTCAAGAACGAGACCGTTACGGGGACATAATCACTTTCACTGGGTTTGAGCCCGACAAGGCCAAAGATGAACAGAGCAGACTCGGCTTCTTGTTTCTGGGGCCGTGTGAGGCAGATGGCGATCGAGAAAAGATTGTCACTCCATGGCAGGTTGATGGCTATGTCGTGCTACCAAATGTCTTTGAAGCCGGGATTTACCTCAGTGATCACAGAGCTATCGTCGGGGATCTTCGTCTACAGTCCTTATCGTAAAGCCTGAATACAGATCACCGTCCACCAAAACGCCCAAGTCGATGGATAATCGAGTGAGGAGACCGCTTGTTCAAACTTTTGATATCTTCGTTGCCTGTGAATTTAAAGGGAAGCATATACTTAATGAGAGCACAGTTCCCTTGATTAAGCCAAATATAGGCTGGATGCAAGGGTTGTGCGGTCACGCCGATGTAACGGAATTCTTTTCTTGGGCTTGTTGTTTAAGACTACAGGAGGCAGCTTTGGGTCTGGGAAATGAGCATGGCGACGTTCAATTGTAGCGATGAGATTGGTGGAGTTGAGGATCGTATCTCGAGCATGTTCTGTATCCAGGTTTGTTCGGCCTTGCAACTCCCGGTCGCCCGTTGTTTGACTTGTTGCTATAAACTCGGCTAACCGTCCCTGGCTGAGATCGTGAAATGGCTATCTAATAGATTGAGGACCTGGACTGACTAGGCATGGACGTGGTCGGATGGACGTGGTCGGATGGACATCATCCACCTCGCCAGTGTACGAACTCACCAGCTGCCCGAAGATCGGCATTTTTACATCCCGGATTGCTTGAATGCATCCTTTCATCCCAACTTCGATAATGCGTTCACGTCCAGAAGATCCATGGATTTCCATGTAGTTCGGACGATAGACCAGGTCAAGTCTTCTAGACGGCCGGATGGAAGCATCTCTCAAGTTTGGCGATGTTTTCGAGAATAAGCCGTACCATCTTCATGATGGCGATGGGCTGGCTAAATACAGTTGAGACTTGCTAGCTGCCGGGGCGATGGCCACTCCTTGAAGCCGGGGCATCCTAGCATTGCAGCCGCACAGACGCGGCGATGCCTTCTTCAGTGGACTTTGTGGGGAAGCACAGGGATGTATCTGGGGCAGTGGTCCCCCAAATTATTGAGTGCCGAACCCTTCATAGCTGCCCATGTAGACAATTATCAAGAGATCTTTCTTCAAGCCACTTCGCGTCGGTAGATCCGTTGCTCAACTCCTTCCCCCCGAGGCTTTCCATTCGCATCATCCTTCATCCGACCATCTTTGGGTCAGACTCCCGGACCATTCTCTGTGCGGATGATGGCAATGCCAGGAGGTCTGTGAGTATGCAGCTGTGCCTCCTCTGCATGTGCGTGTCTGAAGGATGTCACCAGGCTTATAGGCAAAAGACCCTTTCGCTCGATAGCATTATCGATAATGCAGGTGGTGGAGGGTAGCAGCAGCCAACCGCGTTCTTCTGGAGGGGACCCAAGCATGACAGCCTTGCCTTCTTGGGCGACTTCAAACCAAGGCACTTTGACTCAATTGGCTCTTCACCTACAGCCTACCTATCAAGATTCGATTTCATGCCCAGCAAGCAGCGTGCCGTCTGCGAGTTTCAGACGTCTGAAAAGACTCCCGTAGCCATTGCCCTGCTCTTCGCCGCACGCATCCTCCCGTGCGCCCACTTTTACGACTTCTCATTACACCACGCGAGAGACCATATGTCATCTGAACTTTGTGCACGCATTGCTGTTCATCGCATGATAACCCATGACGAACATCGCCGCCGTATCTCGTTTGATCCGCCTCGCTCACGAGAGTTCTGCCTTCTCTGTCCGTTCCTCAAGGTTGTGTGGTTCAGCCACTTGCTGCGCTTGAGATCAGCTCTTGACAATTCCCTTCCGTCAACCTAGTAATATTCTCTTCATTTGATAGAGTATTCGGCAAGTGCCAGGTATGCGCTGATGTCTTCTATCTATATCATGAAGCATCTCGTACTATATCACTATCAATCCAATCGAGCCGCATCCTTCGACACGTATGGGTCACCGAGGAAGCTCTCATTGATGTTGGTTCTTTCACAAATTCATTCCACTCCCTCACTAGCTAGCATGCATGCATGTGAAAGAGCTGCCGCATGCTTTAATTTCAACAGCTAAGTGGCAAGTTGTGTCGTTTCTTGGGAATGCGACCCTCTGTGGCTCACAGCCATCTGGTTCTCAGACACCCCTGCATGGGGGATGTACGGATTGATGCAGCCTTCAGGCATGACTGTCTCCCGCTCACCTGTGAGCCACCAGAGCCACATCATTATCATACCTCGTGGCCCCGTAGATCCGCTCTTCTTTTTTCTCTCTCCACAAGATCTGCCTCGAGAGTATCATGACACACGAGGCAGATTTAACCGGCGGCCGGATGTCTGCATGCAAGGTCGACTTGGGACGAGACGACACCTGAGATCAGCGATCACTCATTCGTCTTGGTCTAGAAGATCAAGAGTCTCTTTCCGAGACGGGACAGGTCAACCTGACGGGATCAGGTCAAGATTTCCAATTCTTGTTGAAGCATGCCGTGTCGGTCGATATCTTAAGACTCTTAATCCCCCAGGCTCCCGCTCCGTTCTGAAATCTTGTCCTTCGTTTTCCTCTTCCCCGGAATCGACTCTCTTGTTAGTTCTGGCTTTCCAACTTCGATGATCCGTTTCGCCAGACTTCGACCTCGAGTGGAGTGAATGGATGACGATTCGTTGTCGTGCAGCGCCATGGCCAACGTCCTTGATATACCAGAGGTGCCCACTACTGGGCTCCAGACATTCGCTCTCTTTCTCAACTTCTTCTTTCCTGCTTTGGCTTTGGTTGTAGTCGTTCTTCGTACGGCGGGGCGACTAGCAACAAATGCCTTTGGATGGGGTATGTAATCAAAATCTGGCTTGAACGTCTGGATAATATAAGCTAACCTATTCATAGATGATGGTTTAATAAGTGTTGCCATGGTAAGAGCTCAAGGAATTTGATGTGTTGTGACGAATGTAGACTAAGATCAACTAAAGCTAATGTCACTCGCTGAAACTGTTGTCAGCTTCTTCTGTAAGACCTATCTTTGCTGTAACTATACGGCAGATCTAACGAAATCTGCCAGTTATCAAAACGAACTTTATCGGCATTCACATTGCCGACGTACCTCCAGGACCACCCTCAACTGAGGCTGCCATTTGGAACTATGCGGTGCAGATACTGTACAACCCAATTTTGGCACTGGTCAAGTCATCAGTGCTTCTCTTCCTACTACGACTCTTCGGCCAGAAGACTGGCGTACGGCGATTCATCATCGCCCTCAACACTCTCAACATTGCGCAGATGATCGCATTCTTCTTCGTCATCGTCTTCCAATGTACTCCGATATCCTTCAACTGGGACAAGACCATTCCCGGAGGGCGCTGCGTGGACCAAAGAATTGTGTTCACAATCACGGCTACATGGAACATTATCACAGACCTCCTGGTCCTGGGCTTGCCCTTATGGATCTTCGTCGACCTTAACATCCCAAAGAGGACCAAGATTGCGCTATTATTTGTTTTCCTCTTAGGATTCCTGTAAGCCAAACTTTGATCAATGTCATTATACAGAAGACTAACAACACCTTCCAGAGTGACAATTACTTCTATCGTCCGCCTAGTACTTCTAGTACAAGGCCTTTTCGGGCTCATCATGCTCAAGGACCCAACCTTTAACATCGGCTTCATCGTCTCGACAATTGAGATCAACCTCGCCTTGATCACTGCCTCAGCGCCGGCAATAAGGCCATTCATCCGCCCACGACGCCGCGGCGGCTGGGTCCCCAACAGCTTTTACGGCGGCAAGCCTCCGCCGTCCTCCTCCGCCGCGGCTGCCGATCCCGAGATGGGATATAGCTACACGCGCAGCAGCACGGGCACCAGCAGCCGCGGGGGCGCCAAGCTCAACCGCGGCGGCAGCAGAGGCGGGCGACGAGGAGGCCGGGGTCGCGCTGGGTCGAGACGGCCCATTAACCTGCGCGACATACGGCTCCGCACGAGCGATCGTGCGCTGCGGTCGCAGAGCCCGCGCGAGAGCGAGGAGGAGACCATGACGGCCAACGGCATCATGCGTGTCAGTGACGTCCAGCGGGAGATCGACGCCGTGGTGAAGGACATGGCCGTCGGGCCGGGGAGCTACGGCAGCAACTTCGCGAGCAACACTAGCAATAACAAAAATGCCATAACCGCATCTACCACCACGAAGCCGAGCACCAATAACATCGGCACGGCCGTCACCACCACCGGCAACAGCAGGAACCTGACGAGCGCGCCGGCGCGGGTGACGTCGCCGTCCCCGCTCGCGGACGCCATCTGGTACGACCCGGACGACGGGCCCGAACAGTTCGGGCGCATGAAATTCCCGGCGGAGCGCTTCTACAGCGAGAGCGTGTACCCGGACCTCGAGTACCGCGGGGAGCGGGACTACAACGAGGAGCGGTTCAGCAAGTACGGCGAGCGGCGCTTCGGGGTGATCACGCCCAAGATGACGACGCCGACGAGGAGAGGCGGGTGGAGTGAGGCCGGGAGACCGTTCTGATGGATTTCCTCCCATCTCGCGGTCAAGGTCAAGGTCTCCTTCTTACTCTGCTGGTCTTTTTCGGCGTTGGTAGTGCATTCATCACGGGTAGGATTCTCTTGTTACGGCTACGGCTATTCATTGCGAGGAGGGAGGAGTTTGGGCTTGGATTGGTGTGTACATTTCGAGAAAGACTGTACGATGTCGAAGGGTGCTACTTAATTAGACTCGGACATCGCACTTTGGCGTTTGAGGGGGTTGGATTGTTGTGCTTTGCAACAGGCAGCAAAAGTCCTCTGTTTCCGAGGAACAAGTTTTTAGTTGTCTTTCTGTCACTAACGGAATGCAAATTGATACCCTTTGATGCACAATAATAACTGACTTCAGTCAATTCCTGAGAAAGAGCAGTTCCGCAAGAGAACCGAGGGTATTGTGAACTTGAAGGTCCTGGGCGACGGCTGTGACCCACAAGAGTCGCGTGCCGAACGGTAGACGGCTGCGGGTCGCATCTGTGACAACCGCGATTTAGCCTTGGTAACAGGTCTCGACGGCCCGCCTCCTCAGAGCCAATGTACGCATATTCGCGGTACGCCGCGTGGCGTGAGCCAGCGGGTGATTCTGAAGGGTCGTGTGAAGGCGTGGATGGTGGGTGCTCGCTTGGAAGTACTATTTCTTTTCTTCGTCCGTTGTTTACGGCATCAGGATTTGGTACCAAAGTATCATAGCTCGGCTTCTCAAATACGAGCAAACACAATGTCTAGGCTGGACTTGCAATGCTGAGAAATGGAACGTCTTGTACTACATAGCACTCTACTGGGCTGCGGTTGGTCGGCTGAGGCTGAGTGAGAACCATGACCATATCACATAACATAACATAACGGCCGGGGGTCACGATGCCTATCTTAGATCTTGGAAGAGGCTCTTTAGCTCAACGTCGCCCTGCAGGCATGGCCACGATCAATAAGCATCACCTGATGCCTGAGACAAGCAAGGGCAAGCTGTCTGATGCGATCTTCGCAGGCCACCCGGCTATCGATAGGGTTACAGGTAACAAGCCGATCGGGTTACCATGCCTATGCCGCTATCGTTATCACAAAGACAATGGAAGGGCTATCGCCGGCGCTACCCCGCATTTACAGGGCTTTGGGTGGGTGGGTTGGACCGGCTAGGTCTTAGACACCCAAGCGAATGAGCATCCTCTGATAAAGAATTGCTCCTTTCAGCGTCGTGCAGGTGGTCTCACGACTGACAATGAATATCTGCGAGATTCGTTACGCAGAGGTGTATTTAGACTTTGTGCATGCGAGGAGCTCGAGGACTGGCAGTCGAACGGTCATTACAAAACGATGATAGATGGTCCACTGTCGAAGGTCTGGTCCGGTCTGGTGCCTCTCAACAAAGCCGCATCTCCTATATCGGCGGTCTCTAGTAGTAGGGGTCTTTGGAGCGGTCGGAATCGGTAGCATACCAAGTGGCGACGAGAGTCCTAAGCAGTCTCTCTGAGTGGGTAGCCCAAAACAACAGATTCAGCTCCACTTGCCCGCGCAAGCAATGGGAAACCAGATCCGAGCCCAACTTGTTCCTCCTAAGGTAGTTGGGATGTGTCTCATGGTGTCGCATTCATAATTCTGTACTGTGGGGTGCAGCCCACGCCCTCCCCCCGACCTGTTGCCTGCCGCACCAGTGAGTGGTTATGGTTAATGCCCCTTACATCCGTGACAGCACCACGCATGGGGATCTGATTGACTGAGACGTTGGGTCGGCGGTCCGTATTTGGCTGCCTGCATATGGGAATTGCCAAGGGGCAAGGAAACTGCACGGTTGAGTCAGCTCCGAAGAGGGTGTACGCCTCTGCACATTGGCCTCTGGGAATTACACGCAAATTACAGATTTGACAGAACCACGGCTGAAAGGGTGTTGAGAAGAAGCCCACGGACTGCTCCGACGCAATAGAACGAGCTACGGCTTTTGTGTCCGACACTGGAAAGCCCACTCTGTCAAATCAGGGTCGTTGATGCTAACGAAGATCGGAGTCGGGATTTGCTTTTCTAGAAGCAAAATGGCCCACAATCCCACAAGAACAAGAAGGAAGCCCCACGAGAGAGCCCTTACCCTGCGTTGGCAGCGGCCAGAGTGGGTTGGCCGCAAAATGTCACCGACTAATGTTCGAGTCGGTAAGTGCAGTAGTGTAGAGTAGCAGTGAGGTAAATTAGAAACGGCGTCTCCCCTACTTCTTTGGGTAAGTAAGAACGGTGAAGAATTTTGACGATGGGGTCTTAATGAGCGAATTTCGGACTGCAGAGCGCGCGATACAATGCCAATACCGGGATCGTTGGTAGCTGAACAACGAGATTTCCCCTTTTCGCAGCCTCTTCACCCACGCGAGTTGGAGGACACTTTGGCCTCATTCATTCCGATCAGCCGGTTTGGATGTAAGACATCCGCCTCGATCAGGCACAGTACAGCGCAGAGTACAGTCAGCCAAGCAAGATCCCGTGGACAGAGTGGGAGGCTTCTGAGGCTTTTGAAAGTGAAGTGTCATTTACCTTTGTTAGAGTTACCTCCCAGCAGGTCGTGTGCATCTGTGCTTGCTGGGTTCAGGCGGGCGGCGCCGGAGCAGGCCTGAGACTTGGGAACATCTGCAACGTGACTGGTCGCCAAAGGACCGGCTGTAGGGATGTATGACGATCGGAGTGGGGATCCCCCAGCAGGCGCGGTGTCGTGTCGTGCAGGCACTCAAGCGGGTATGACGGCTGGCGGCGTTGCTTATCAGTTGGGCATCTCCGGACACCTGCACCTGCAAGTTACGAGCTCCAGTTACAGTGATCGAAATATTAAGGGAATGTTGGCTCGTTGCCTTTGAAGCAGCCAGCAAGAGTCAGAGTCATGATCATGATAATAGGGGTCGGGTATTCGCGCATCCCTCGTTCGCTCCCCCACGGCCAGATCAGATCCAGGGGAAGAAAGAAGCGTGAGAAGAAAAAAGGAGGAAAGAAGCAATGGGACTGTGACAAGGTACTGTACATACAACGTGGACGTACAGTAAGGCATTTATTTACACAAGAAGAACTGGCCGAATTAGGCAGGCGAGGGGCCAGTTGCACGGCGAACACTACGACAATAACAGGTAGGTACATTAGGTAGTTTATTAAGGTATTGCTGTTACATGCGAGCAAGGCAGGAACAACACTACTTTGGATTGAAGCAGGTAAGTTTACAGTGAAGTGGGAGGGATCAGGGAAGGAATGATCGTAATAAAAGCAACGATCGGGAAGGAAGCTGTTGGGGTTGGGGTGGACTGAACAGTCTGGGCTAGACTGGCTGAGTTGGCCGTACCTGCCTAGCCCATCCCGCTTCCTCGCAATTCCCTTATCAGCTCCCAAGTCGGTCGTGTGAGTCTACCCTATTACTTACCTAGTACTTACCATACCCACTGTCTCGGCAGGTACGGCACTACACCAGCTGTGTTGAGTAGGTCGCTCGGGAAAGAGCGATGGGCCGCGCACTCGTACTTGCTTGCTTGGTGGCTGCGCCCGATAGATAGGCAGATGATAGATAATAGACAATCTGACCTCCTCTTCCGCCGTGGACCTTGTTTCCCTTCTTGTATATCTGTCTAGGACGCCTAGCGGAAAGTATATCGCATCGCCATCGCCTTTCGATATACACGTGTTGAGATCATCACTGCTCTCGTGACGTACACTAAAGGTGTGCCCATCTTCGGTAGCGATCCAGCAGACCAGACCCGCGGGCTGAAAGACAGCGTGGAGCAGCTGCACTCTCGAATGCGGAGGTCACACAATTAAGGGGTCTCGTCCAGACTGTTGGGATTGGATCGAATCGAATCTCGCATGCGAAGAGGATACAAGCACCAGCAGGAGGAGCAGTAGTAAAGAGAACAGGTGGGCGACAAGTGACGAAACGCTTCATCCCACGCGCAGCGCAGGTACTCGCAGACAAGTACACACACCATCATCGACCACGAGTTCAAGCACCCACCGCAACAGCAAGAAAAAGACGTTTTTAGTCAACGGAGAGTTCTAATAAAGCAACTCTACGATCACTTACGTACAGGACCCTCACCAGACATCATCATTGCCGCGGTGCTCCCTACGTTGGTCAAGTCGGACCCGGCGCCGTTACCAGGCATTGACGTCGAGCGGACCGTCCGACCCTCAATTCTCGCGGTTCCTTTTACGTACATTTACGTACAGAAAACGCCGGACCCCTGCGACCTGCACACGAGCATCATAACCTGCCCTTCCCGGCCGCACCTGGCTTTCCAGTTGGTCCAGTACGACGCCCTGGAATTCCAAGAATCGATCTGGCAATGGTCCACAGTGCAGCCGGCCTGCCCTAGCCGAAAGTCAACAGCTTGTGCTGTAACGTGCACTTGCAGTCCGGTCGATAGTGCCCAGCACTGGGTACCAGTGGACCAGACTGATTGGCACGCCGAAACGGCCAAATCACTGTTTGCTAGTTATTAATATTACGGGGACGGGCTAGACGGGAGCAACTTGGACACTATGATGTCTCCGAGGTCCTTTCTGGTCTCCCGACAAACCCACGCCCAACAGCCCATTGGCACTTCTTCTTCCTCACCACCCTCCTCGACACTACCACTCAGGAGAAAGGATGATCGCCAGGCAAGGAGCTTCGTCGGGAGTAATAATAACAGGAATAGCCTCGCGACACCTACCACAGATAAGATGGGCGCAAAGCGGAGGGAACCGACCAAGTCGCCCTCCCCATCTCCGAGCCCGCCCAAGACTACGACTACACTTACACGACCAACTACTCCGACCGAACCGCTGCAAATCCCCACGAAGACGAATCGAGGCACGGCGCATCCGTCGAAGCACCATAGCGACCATCACCATCAGAGGCGGAGGCAGCACTCTTCTCAGCGAGCAAAAGACGGACACTCTCCAGATGCAATCCCACCGTCAGTCGCCGCCTTGCTAGCAGTCACGAGTATTCCCCCGTCAAAGAGCCAGCGAACCCTGCGACAACGAATGGTC